ATGTAAATTATTTTAGATAAAACTTAGCATATAATTTTTGATTTGTAAAATTTATCACAAAAATAAGAAAAAATTTGCTAATCCATTTGCTAAGATAGATTTCCAAATCTTATCGAAATTAGAATGCTTGACAAAAAAATGTATTACATAAAACCATAGACTTTATATTGTGTGTGACATAATTTTTAAAGATTAATTTTATATTTATATATATTTTTTCTCTCTCTCCTGAAATGTAAATAGAGTCATCTAAATTAAAGTCATATTATATTTTATTTTTATAAATCAAAAATTCTTTTTGGCGTTAACAATTCTCCATCACAATTACAAATCTGCTCATTATTTTATAAAATAAGAAATTCAATTTTTTCTTTTAAATCCCTATATGTATATATGTTTATTTGCATAAAAAAAAATTTTATATTAATCTCAAATTGATTTATAAATTTTCTATTTGAAATCAATTTGGCAAAATAAAAATAAAATTATTATTTAGTAAAGAAAATTAATAAGAATTAATAAGGGAAATTCATAGTTTTCATTTTTTTTTATAACAAATTTTAGTCAAAAAAATTTGTATTTTTTTTTAAATAAAAAGTTGACGATCACCGTTAATTTATTCATAGGAAAATTTCATTAAATTAATATTTAATCCGAAAAAGTTTTTAATTTAAAAACAATGAAAACAAAAAAATCTAATACTTATTTATTTTAAAAAGATAACTTTTGTTATGAAAATCAATCAAATACTAAGAGAACTTAAGATAAAGCCAAGGTTTCCTCGAAGCATAACTGATATTTTAAGCAGAGGTGGAGGGGGGGGGGAATATAATAGTCGCCATTCATAGTTACAGTCAGATCAGTATCTATCTTATATTTTAGTCATCAGATCTGCGCCATTAAACTAGGGTCTAGAGAACCTGCTTGTCCTAAAATGACAAATATTTACTGGGAGGAGGAAAGTTTTCTTTTAAACACTTTTTGTTTTTTTTAAACATTTTTTGGAAATATATCGTATATTCATCTATTATATAAAAAAAATATTGCAAAATAATTCCTTTATTTTTTTAAATTATAAGAAGGCCAAAATATTATGTATAGTTAGTTAAAACTTCACATACCTTTTTTTTTCTTCAAAGTATTATATCCGAGTTATAAAATAACTTATATAACTTTACTTTTTTTAAAATTTAACATTAACATAAATTGCAATTTAATGAGAGCCTAAATTAAAAAACCAGATACCAGTAAATCTGAACCATAAATTTAAAAAAAACATTTTACAAAATCCGGCCCAACTTAATTTCTTTTAAAAAATGAATATAAAAGACCCGGCGCTAGTATTTTAATTTTTTATATATATACCCGGACCGGGCTAGGCTGGGCCGTGCAAATAGTACCTCTGCAGGCCTCTAATTTATATTAATTAGTCAGTTGGGAAATGTTGGAAAAATTATATAGTGAAGCGTTTTTTCAATTTTCCTCCTTTGAAACAATATACAAAATACAGGTAAAAATATTCCGATGTAAAAATGGTCAAAGATAAAAATCTAACAGATCCAAAAAAAAAATTTTCTAAAAGCCACACTCTGCAATAGCTACTTCCTCGGGGAAAAAACTTTTGAAAGTTGCAATAAAACAATTATTGAGCTAAAACAACAATGTAATCTTAGGTTATGTCACAATAAGGATAGATTTTATTTTCTATATAAAAAACTCTTAAAATTCATCAAATAATAAATATTCTAATATTTCGTATGAATTAAAGGTAAAAAAAAATAATACTTTAGATTTAATGCTTCACAGTACTAGCAGAGCCATACTTTAAAATCAAAAACAATATTATTTTTGTAAAAATGGCAATATATTATGTACCCAGTTTTTTTAAAAAAATATGGCATATCCTTTATGGTTTCTTTAAATACCTCAAGGGTAAATATTTATTATAAAACTTGTTTATATCATTTCCTTCTATAAAAATGATCATAAATTTTTTAAAAGGAAGATTAGTGGCTAGGAGTCATGGTTCAGTAAAATATTAAGGTTCGAAGGGTTCGGATTCACAGCCCCTGATACCTTTTCTACAACGGCATTTAAATAATGGAATAACTGGAAATCGTAAAATTTTGCCAATCTTTCGTCTATGCCTCAGCCTCTTGTTTAAGTCTTAATATTTTTATTCTAAAAATGAATAATAAATATTTAAGTATAAAGTAAAATTAGTTAGCATCTTGAATTGAGATCAGGTGGTAATAAGTAAAGGAAAGATTTAATTCCAATGTAAATTCAATAATAATTTTCTGAAATTATTTAGGGCTAATCTCCAATTTCAAACTCGCCACTTCGCCACTTATCCGATAAAATAAGAGTTATTAATATAAAAATGAGACTTCATATATTTCACATTTATCCGATATTCGCAATTAACAGGTTGAATTTAAAAATATATTTTAACATTATGCCACTGTCGGTTTAACAATATGATAGCTCAATTTTTTAGCATTTAAATATAATTGCAATTAAGCGGTTTTAACTGTACTCGGGATCAAATTTAATGCTCTATTTTACATCCAATTATACAAATTGTCATTAGAATCTAATAATCAGGAGCATTGAGCTTGGTGTTTTGGGTGCTACAACACTCCTTTTAATCAGCACTAATTTTGAATGGAGTAGTACCTTATTTTTTTTTAAATTACCACCCAATTTTGAAATAATTAGCACCAATTTAAACATTGCATTAATATTTCGTTTGAATAGTTTTCTTACTAAATTTAAAATAAATATTTGCTTATGGCAGCATCAATTTTTTTTATTATTATTAATTCTTCCGGTTTACCATATTCAAAAATAAAATGGTGGAGAGTCAGAGTTAATTATAAAGTATGAAAGGAAATATATAATTATCTATTTACTATTATTTACTAGATGACTCTACACAATCAGAATGAAACAAAACCTAATACAAGTAACAATTTAAATATTCAAAGTATTATTTTTCCAATAAGTATAATTTTTTCCTTGATTATCTTATTTTTCATTTAATAGATACCTCAGCTTTTAACTTTCAATTTTAATGAGCAATCTTATACCTACAATCATTTCAAGCTCATAGTCAGCGGGCGGAGGAGGAGGGGGGTGGATAGGTTGTGAATTTATAAGTATTCTAAAGATTATATTCTATTTTAATTTTAGGAGAAAGTTAAAATTAATATAAATTCATCTTCCTTGTGAATTAACTTTAAATTTGCAAGAATATAAAACAGATTTTCTTACATTTTTTTTTAATTTTAATGGGTAAATATTTTATCAATAAATTTATATTTAATTTATTTCTACTAATAATTATTATTAGGACAGAATTTGCTATTAAGAATTATTTCTGAGACTTCCTGAACTACAAGAAAAAAGAAACTGATAAATAAGCGTAACAGAGTTTTTGCATCTAAAAGATATTTTGATCTCCATTTAAAAAATATCAGAATAACTTGAACCAAATATTTCATCGAAGCTGATATATTATTAGGTTCAATAAGACAGCCGATTTCTTTAGCATTGGAATGTATTTATAATTTACACAACAATTTTATGCAATATTTTTAAAAAAATGATTTGGCTTTAGGTGAGGTTATGAGAATTGCCAGATTATTATATTAAACTTAGAAAATTAATAAATAATATAGGCCAAGATTTTACGAGATTTGTGTGGTTGTTGAGGTGAACGACTTGCGCCCAGACAAACAAATCGTTCCAGCATTAATGCATACTAAATTAAGTATTAGTATAAAATAATCGTTATTATTCCACTTTAGGACACATTTTTCAAACCAATCATTTGTGAATCATAAAATGACTCCATTCAATTTACAAATACTATTATACCTATAAATCCATCTGAGGATTAAATATTTAGTACAATTTTATTCAAGGATATATATATGTATCTGAAGGCGGATTAATTTTAGAACTTAAATCTTGGTGTAAAAGATTAATATATCTTCCAAGAACCATGGAATCATTTTTGTCAAAAATGCCAAGTAGTATAAACATATATGAGAGAACCTTTTCTTCATTATGCAGAATAAAAACAACAACTTATCTCAGAAGTATGACATCAGAAAATCTTGAATGGACTAGTTCTGCTTAATGTACATATAGATATAATACCTAATACTGAGTAAATTTTGAAAAATTGTCACAATCGCTTAGAAATAGAAGAATAAATTTCCATTTATGACCGATAATTTGATTACCTTCTCGTATCAAAATTTAATATCTAATTCTAAATTTTTTGTAATTTACTTAAGGTTTTATATAGCTATAATATTTAAAATATTATATTAGCTCTAAAATATTATTTATTTTCCAATATTTTATTATTTTGTGTTCGAAATTGTCATTTTTTAAAATATTGTCTATAATAAATTTAATATAGTGAATATTTCTAATAAATTTCCAATGTTCTAACTATTTTAATATAAAAAAATTACTCCTCCCCCCCCCCTTCCCGAAACTTCTGACTACGCGCCTGATTCTTTTAAATTAAAAGGTAAGTCTAATTATAATAATTATTTTATAAAAGCCCTTTTCAAGAAAACACTTTTACACAACAAAAACCAAATTATATTGAATTTAAATCAAAAGGTACATCTAAAAAATTGATAGAAATTTTTTTTAAATTTATTAACACCATTTAACATCCTCTTTTATAAAAATCTAGGAACCCCCTTGTAATATATCTGATTCAGGTGAAATACTTGGTTCACATTTTTCAATATATTTCTAAGCAGAGTCAAAAACATTTATTAAAAGAATAGAATCTTTTTGAAAAGAGATAGTTTCCAATTAATAAAAACTTTAAATACTATCTCTTCAAAAATATTAAAAAAATTAATTTTGCCCCCTCCTTCGGCTATATGCCTGATTTTTATAATATTCAGCGACAAATCCAACATATAACTATGCCCTCCCCTTCTATTTTTACCGTTACTACCTAAAGTGTTTAAATAGATGTGAACCATCAATTCTTTTATTAATTAGCATGGAAAATATTCAAAAATATAAAATTGATTATTTTGGATATTGTTATGCAGGTATAGTGTTAACTGGAGGCATTGCAGGATATCTTAAAGCTGGTATCAAAAATTATTGAAATGTTTTCAGATTATTGATTAGGTAGTCCAGTATCGTTAGCAGCAGGTATATTATTTGGAAGTGTTTTAACTTATGGGGCTTACCTTGCTTCTAAAAATCCATCTAATTATCAATTGATATTTGGTAAGTTATTTAATTAAATTATTTCTTATTACTCTTTTTAGGTACTTCTGTAGCACTTACAGCTTTAATGGGTCACAGATTTTATAAAACAGGAAAATTTATGCCAGCTGGATTAATTGCTGGAATGAGGTACAGATATTATTGAGTTTGATAAACTAATTTGTATATATAGCATAGCAATGGCTTTGAGATATGGACTTAGATTAATGAACAACAACAAATGAATTTGTTTTATATATTTAAATCATGATACTGCAATTATTGTAACTTACAATTATATTGTTATATAAAAATAAATATAACATTCCTTTTTTGAAATAATAACTTATAAGAAATTTCTAAAAGGTTTTAATTAATATGCTATGGGTAATAAATATGTCATTTAAATGTATACAATTGCAATTGGTATGTTAAAACATTTTTAATATTATTATATAGTGACATAATATTTCTTCTATAATATCTTATTCTTCAGAAAGAAGATTTAATTAGAAGTGGAAAAAAAACGTTTATTTGGATAAAAACAAATTTCTTATTTTAACAATCATTTATATAAAATAAATTTAACAATAGCATGATGTTGATATTAGAAGTAAAATATCATAAATTTCTGCTTGAGCCTTTGTCATTCTTATACACTTTATATTATTATTTGTTAGTTTGCTTCTATTTGAAGGAGAAATGTGTTTTTAGTAAAATTTATATTCATAAATTCTAAATTTCTCATTTCCTCCAGCAAAAAAAGTTATAATATATTAGTGCTGTGCAGATATTGAATATCGGATTGGCACAAATATTTAGTGTTTTCCAAAAATATTGGATTGGGCCTATACTTTAAAAAAACTGATCCTATCTTTTACTTTTCTTTTTTTTTAATTTTTTTTTAAACAATGCAATTGCACAACACCCTCTAAATTTTATCTCTTTTTTAAAAATAGATTTATAGTATTTTAAAAGTTTTTTTATAAAAATAGAAAGGAACACCTATATTTTATTTATTTAAAAAAATTTTAAATGTGGTATCTGAATTATAGAAATATTTTATAAAAGACAAAGATGATTTTGCAAAATGATTATCTGTGGAATCATCTGAGTCTACCTTCAGTATGGCAGGGGATAAAGATAGTCCATATTATAGAAGCTTATTGCCAGAAAATCTAGAGACTCATATTAAAAAATCTAATATATTATAATTTTGTATATTAAATTTTATAATTCATACCAACATAAATTGGATATATTATTAAATATATATTTTTTAATTATAGTCATAATTGTATAAATAAAAAAATTAAATTCATAATTCATTTTTTGCATAAAAAATATTGATTTTTTTGGTTCAATGGGGGGTGGTGAAAATTCAGCATAAAAATCAGATCAGTTTTGAGGCAAAATTAGATCTGATCAGTGAAAAATATGTAGATTGGCACAGCCCTATAATATATATGATGATATTTTTATTGCAGTATCTTAATTTAAAGATTAAATATCAAATTAAGTGATATATTTGTTATATTATTAAAGAAAATTAATAAAATTTCAGGGTTCCATGTAAATTCTGTGAATGTTTATTATAGTGAATCCATATTAACAAATACTATTCCACAAAGACAATATCATGAATTTTTTAAAGCGAAATCCTTAGGATAAACCCTTTAGAAATCATTATTGTGAAAACCCAGCTAAGACTATGTAGAGAAACATATAACAAAGTCAATATTGCGATATTTGCTAATAGTGACTATTTTATTTTTAAACATTTATTTTTAAGACCATATAAATCACATAATAGTTTGAAAAATTGATTCAATGGAGTTTTTAATTATCTTTTAACCTTAATAAATTTATCTACTGGTAAAATTTATTATTGGAATATAATTTTTTTACCCTGCCCTATACTTTGCTCATAATCTATCAAGGACTTAATGGGATGATTTAGCAATGAAATTTTTTTTATTATCTTTCATTTGATATTATTACCTATATAGGTCCCTTATGCTAAAAATTAGGCCTAAGTATAAATTTTAAGAATGCATAAGAAGGTTAAATAAATTTTAAAAAATTAACAATCTATTACCCCCATACACCTATATAGAAAATTTAAGATTATGATGCTCGACCTGGCAAGATATTTTGCAAAAGTTCCTCACCCCCATCTGTTAAATTTTTTATCTAGCTCATTAAAAATTTACAAAATATCAAACACTACAATTTAAAAGTCTGACAACCCAACTTATTTGTAAGAATTTTTCTGTACCTTTTTAATATCTAATTTTCTCCCAATGTTAATTAAGGCATCCCTCTCTATGGTTATCTATTTTTACAACAACCGTTTTATAAATCACCCTGTTTGATATCTGTATTAGTATTCTGCACTGAGCCTAATTTCCCAATCCCGTCCAGAAAATTTTTATTTGTCCTGAAAAGCCCGACCCGAAATAAAAACTAGTTGCTGGCCCGGCCCAAATTTATTTAAAAATAGAAAATTTTAATATCTTGATTGTATAAAAAAAATATTCTACAAATAAAAAATATTGCCACCTTATTTCTTGCAAAATCTTAAAATATATTAATTTATCAAAATGTAATGATATCAAATTAAAAATTTAAGCCCGACCTGGTCAGTCCGAAATTTTTAAAAAGATATTAGGCCCGACCCAGCAAGAACCTAAATTATTATTTATAGACCTCCCGAAACTCGTTTGGGCTGGGATGAGTACAGGCCAGGTCGTGAATTATGCATAGCCTTAGATTAATATAGACTAGAAGTGGGCTCGGGCAGTGAAATTACGCTTGACACGATGGGCCACGGCTTGATTGTGTTATTAGGCGCGACGGGCCTTCCCAAAATTTCTGCCGGGCGTGAACATAAATTTCCCGTGAATTACGGAAATTTTAATTTTTAAAATTGTTTTTTTTTATGAATATAAATTTGCAATATTATATAATTAGTATATATTTTCTAATTTAATTTAGTTCTTTTTAAAGAAGAATAATTTTTGAAAACAAAAAAACTTCCTCATTTTATCCGTAAAATTTCAATTGAATGAAAAATAATAAATCTTTCAACTCTTGTTCAGTAATGGAAATTTGGTATTTAATAAATTTAATTTAAATATGTTTTATTTTATCTTTACTAAAAATTTTATCAATATTCAAAGAATGGTCGGATAATCTGATCTCAGATTCTCGTGCCACAATAAATGAAATTTATTTATGGAAAACAAAATTAGTTAATTTCTTCAACCTTCTGAAGGTGATAACAATAATAATTAAAACCCTAAAAACCGGACAATATTTCTTTAAAGGAGAGATTTATTATGCAGCCACTACATAAGGTAGGAGAATAGATAAATTACAAAATGAAAGAAAAATAGCCCCATATAATTCATGAAAACAAAAGTTTATTATTAAAAAAATAGAAAATATTGATATAATGAAGAAAAAAAAATATTGGCCTAAAACTTATATTTTTAATTAACTTATTTATCATATTTGTATTTAAATCTAATCTTTCTTTTCTCTTAAAATGATGATATAAAATGTTTTTATATATACGAACTATTTTTTCCCCTTTTTTAAAAATTTTTTCCATTTATTTTGTTGTTGAAAAACATGTTTGTTTTGATTTTTTCTATCCCTAGGACCTAGGTTTAATTGTCAGTATTAAGAAATAAGAATTTTTAATATGTCAATATTGGCCAAAACCAAATTTTATAATCAAACAATTTATTTTTTTAAAAAAAATATAGCATACTAATTTGTAATTTTTATGTTATTTTAAGTCAAATTGTAAATTAGAGTTAACCTTGATTAAATTATTTAGTAGATGCTTGATGGAACCATAAAAAGTTTTTATTTCAGTGTAATAATTAAATTTTATATTAGGATTAAATATTGGTAGGGGACAGGGATGGGCAAAAAGTAGCGCTTTGCCAATCCATAAATTATTTTCCAATTATTTGATATTCATACAAACCCGATTCGATATTTATATTGAATCTATCTTTGGAGATGCAATAAAAATTTCAACATTTTCTATGTGAACGAATAAGAAGCTAACTTTGGGACGAAACAAAAACACTTTGAAACTTTCCTTTTCCCGTAAATAGACCCTTATGCTAAATTTAATACGAAGTGAACACTATTTCTCAAAATTTTTTACATGCGAGACTTAAAGCTGATTTACGGAGGAAACGTCGTGCTCTTCCTACCCTACAAAAGCATTACACATAGCTAAACGCTCTTGTTCATGTCCATTATTCCAAAATATTGTTAATAGGTTTTTTAAAATAAAGCCATATGTAAAACAACTATATAAAAGCAATAATTAAAATTTCGCTTATACACTTGATTTTAGTCGTAAACATAGCCTTATAAAAAAAAATGAAATTTGCTGCCAATTTTTTTATAATAGGTTATTTTTTGTAAAAAAATTAGAACAAAAAATATTTGTATTTAAGTATAAAAATCAAAACAAGTGAAATTTTGATCACCGAGGTCATTATTATTTTCTATAAAAAAAGCTGCTATTCAAATAATTGGGTATTAAATTAAAATTTTGGAAAAATATAATTAATTTTTATTTTACCATATCTATTTCATATCCAGTCTTGGCTATTAAAGGTTTTCTCCCCTAATTTCATTTTGGACACGTAACATTGGTCCCGTGAGAAAATTTATAGCGAATCTCATTGAACTAATGAAGACTATTATTCAGAAAATGACTGTATTGACGACGCTATGCCCAAGCTTGCTAGTATATTATTTTTTTACAGCTCTTAGCCACTACCTATCCTCAACCAGATTGTTCATAGATATAAATTAGATTCTCTAAAATCTATCTAAATTTAACAAAAATAAAGGTACATTTAATATATTATAAAAAAATTAAAAATTTTCCGAGGGCTTCTCCAAGGTTACAAGGAGCTTGAGCCCTTTCCTTTAAAAAAAATTGTTTTCTTTGACTTGTCCAAAACTCGTAGAAGAAAAAACGACTAAACTCTCGAACTTTGTAAATTTAACAAATTTTTTAATAGACTATTAGAATTAAATGAATGTTAAAAGTTTCAAGGAAAGTTGGAAATTTTTTTAAGTTTGCTAAAAAGAAAATACAAAATAGGTGTTATTGTTAAAATAAAAAAAAATATATACAAAATCTTTCAGAAACAAAACGATATAAAAAATTTTTCAATTTTTATTCCGATCCTAAAAATTTTAAAATCGTGCCGATCTAACCTAGTCCAAAGGAATGGTCAGTTCGGGTAGTTGGTAAGGATCTGATTTTGATACCGATAACCCGATTTTAAGAGTTGGTAAGGGACATGGCTGGATATTTTTAAACAAATATTAATAAATAAAATTTATGACTACGAGATGTGATAAAATGAATTTTATTTTTCTATTTGCTTTGTTTTTGAGAAATGTCAGCGATGCGTATCACTTGAAGGACAGGCGTTTACTATAAATTAGGTTAAAGTTATTTAATTCTGTGGCATAGAGTAATTCTTAATTATTCATTTGATAAGAGGTTGCCTAGGTTACAATAATGCCGTCAACCATTATTTAACCACTCTTACAATTTCTAATATTAGGTTGATAATTAAATGTCAGATTAAAACTACTTTCTGGTTATTGTAAATGGCAAGTTGTAATATAATGCTATAAAAATAATAGGAGCTCCTGCCATCAAAGATAAAAGTTAATAGGTAGAAATCTAAGTCTATTAATTTAGATGGTGTTTGGAAGAAATGTCACTTAAATTCTTCAAGTTTAATATAAAATGCTTTCTAATATTATTTTTTTAAATTTTGTGAAAACGATGAATAATTTGAAAAAAGAATGAGGAACTAAAAAATATCTAAAATTTTAAATGAAAACAATTTTTTTTAACCCTTACTTAATAGCATAATCGAAACTATGCAGAACCCAGTAATTAAAAACGTTATTACTCAAAATTTTTCGATATTTTTGACTGGATCTTTTAGTTACTTAATATTTTTAGGTAAAGTATATATGTATCGTCCTGTAGTTCATGGCTATAACGGTGGTTGGAGGGTAAGCATAGACCACCTGGGTAACTTATTTTCATATGTTTTGGCATGAATAAATTATACATAATTTTTTTAATTAAAAATTATATTCATTTGACCCTTAGATAAAAGCACTACATCATCAATTTTATATAAATATTTTTTTTTATATCAATGACATTAAAATAATTTGTAACTTTTTTGACTCTCCTATTTGATATACATGTTTAAAATACGAAAGCTATGAGTAAATTTAATTCTAAAATATAATATATTAGTTCATGCTTAGCGTTGTTAAACGGCTAGATTCTGAATCAAGATTTTAGCCAAAATAATATTACGCCTAGAGGTTTTGTTACTAGATGTCCAAACCAATGAGCAACCAGTCTTTCGAACCAAACTGATAATTTTCTGATGGTTAGTGTTAAACAAAAATTAAGATTTTAACCAAAATAAAATTACACAAGCTTCGAGGTTTCGTTAATAGATGTCAGATATCCAAACCTATGAGCAAAATCTCCAATCTTGCATTTATCTAAAAACTAGTATAACAAAACTACATATTTTTAATATATAAGTCCAAATTTTATAGGATATTATGGCAATATATTTTGTTCTTATTCAAGATATGCATATAATCTAAGGGCAATATTTTTTTAAAAAAAAAATCAATTATTGTCAAATTTTTTATAAATAAAATATCAATTTATCATAATTAAATTGGAATTACAAAAAGTTTAACTGAATCCTGAACCTAGGTTGACATGGTATAAATTTTTTTTATAGGATAACAGCAATGGAATAAACCCGTTAACTAGAATCGGAAAGGAAGCATTATACCATACGGTTCGAATCGTATTAAATACTTTTCCATAAATTTCTCAAATGAGAAAATAATCTTTCCTTATCATTTTAAAACCCAACACTTATGAAGGGATGGGGGGAGGGGGGTGCTAAGTTGAGAAACAACATGTATTATATGTTCTCTAAATTTAAAAGGGGAGAGTTAAACCATTGATTGTAGTGTTGTGTAGAGTCAACTATGCCATACTTGAAATAAATCATAAGCTGAATAATTTGCTCTTCAAATATTTCACTTAAAAAAATATATCATTACATTTCAGTTGATGTTGATTCAAAAAATTGTAAACATTTTATTTTACTCGAAATATTGATACATTTATATAAATTTATATTTTGATAAAAATTTCATTGATTGACAAAAAAAATGGGTGTGATATTCATAATTCTATGGTAGATCAGTTTTTTTTTTGAATTGTTGATTATAATACTATAGCTTTTTGTGAATAACAATAAAAGATAATAACGTGAGATGGGTTTGTAGAAAGTTGAAATTAACGCAAAAAATTATGGTTATAAAATTCAATTTTTGATAAGATAATAAATGAGAAATACACATATTTTAGATAAGAATTGACGAAGAATAATCAAAAAAGGTTTGCAAAGATTTCTTCTACGAAATAAAAATGGCAGATTTTGAATGTCTAAATGTTTTTTGATAAGCCTACAATATGATTTTGAGATACAAGGTAAATTTTATATAGGGAATCTTATTTTTTTTTAAAAATGAATTTGTATTCTAGTCTAATAAATATTTAATTTTTTTTTCTTAATACAACCATAAAAATACTTAAAAGGATCTAGTCACATAAATAATAATGAGGCAAGTAAACTTTCTTATATTTGAAAAAAGGAATAAAAAAAACAACAATGATAAATACTATGTGGGAAAAGTTTACACTTTAATCGCCGCTGTTTTTGTTTACACAATTATTTCGATCAATAAATATATTTCAAAAAAATATTTAATATTTTTTTTAAATTTCCTCACATTATAAAAACAAATAATAATGCATTTTGTGGGGCTAATAAAATACGCGGGATAAACATGATTTTGGTTTATAAATTATAATTTAGAGCTAAAAAAAAATTTGTTTAAGTGATTATAATAAATTAGTTATTTATATAATATTAATTTTTTATTAAAAAAAGAGCATAAATAAATTGCATCGTATTTTTGTGTCATGAAGAGAAAGAAAAAAGGCTAAAAAACTGGTTGTGCTTACTCCTTCTTAATGTAGACTTGGAAGAACGAATGTTTAAATGTATGATTTTTTAAACCGCAAAGTCTATCGTTAACGTCTAGAATTAAGAAATTATTTCCTCCTTCATAAAAAGTTTCCTGTCTACTACTGATTCGCACAAAATAGGTAGTTATAACTTTTAAAAACATATTCTTAACCCGTTTTTACATATATTTTTTTATTTATTAATTCTTTCCGTAAATATTTCTTTATTTTCGAGATATTGGATATCCATCTATAAAGCATTTGCAAATGGAATAGTTCATTTTCCAATTTTTTCATTTGCAGTGAAAAATTCCAAGAAATTTTATTATTTACAATGATGTTTTTTTAAGCATCAAAAAATAATTAGTTGTTTGATTACATATATTATAGGAATTTTTTTGACAAACTATTATTGGCAATGTAAAGCACTTCTTAATACACAGGGGTTATCGATAAAATCGTAATTCTTTTAGTTTCTATTACCATGTTACATGAGTGGAACAGTGAGCAAAATGGGTTAAATAAAAACGTGTAAGAATTAACAATTTCTGGTCTGAGGGAGTGAGAAAATGACAAGGATAGAATAAATACATATAATTGGGGTTCAATTTTTGGATAAATGGGAAATTATGCTATTTTTATAATAAATATAAATTCAGGCAAAGTACATGACTTTGTTGGTATCGACGTGGACGGCTATGGGACGAGTAAACCCCATTTCCGAGGCTTGTTGGCATGCTTCGGCTCTGCAAATATTATTTTAATATACAAATGTGTATATTTAAATTATATGCAATAAATAGAATAAACTTAAAATCAATTTTAAAAAATTGCAACAAGATATAAGGGTACCCCTTCCCTTTAGCTCCTTTCTCGTTAACTAAAAAAGTTGTGTTTTTTAAAAATTACAATTCGTGGTCCTTGTCAATGAGATGGTACCGAGCCCTAAAGGCTACCAAATGGGCGTAATAAGCTGGGGCGGGTATGCTCACACTACGAGTGCACCTCACGTAAGTGTGACACAATTGGTAGGTCAATTGTTGGAGTTCGTCCGAGTTGAACAGGTTGTCGTCCCACAAGACGTGGTAGTGGGATGGTCGACTCGTGCCCTTGTATTTTTTTTAAATAATAAAAAGTAACATTAGGTATAAGAGATAGATGGAAAAAAATGGCTTTCGTCCTGAATTTATTGTTAAAACAAGTGGTAGTAAACTATAATACGATTTTTAACACTTTAAAGTCCTGTGAGCTAATTTGACATCATCATATTGAGTGTTATTTTTTAACGTTTAAAACCACTCAATGATTTAATTTAACATTTTTAAATAAATATAGAATGTATTCAATGGTATTTCATCTATAATCAAAAAAAAATATGCTTTTGTTTATATTTTATTATCATGTAAATTTTGACTATATTTCCTTTTCGATTTTTTCTGAATCACTTGATTTTACATATTATTTAAATATATTTTAATTGAAAAATTTTGAAAACTGTTTATTTTATAAAGAAGACAAATATATTTTTAAAATAATTATTTTTGTAAATATAATTTTAAAATTATGATGCCAAATTAACTCATTGGGAATTCAATAAGTTATTACATTAAATAAATTTTATTTTTATGTATGTCAAGTAAAATAATTATAATTGAAGGTGATATTTCGGAAACAGATATTGATAATAGTGAAGATAATTTTAATTATCCTATTGACAATATAGATATAGATTCGCCCACAAATGCACTCCACATAGAACTTTATAATATTCATGAAGGTCCTAGTTTTCCTAATCTCATTAATAATTGGGTATTAAAAATATTGAATCATTTGGTACAACATTTTCTAAAAAAAATTCTAATCCCCCAAATAATATTCCAACACCATATTACTTCGAATAATATTTCATTTGATGGATACCTGCATTGTGAATGCATGGTTATTGTATCGAAGACATTACTTCAAAAAAATGAAAAATCTTTTATAAAATGTATAACAATTAAATCTCAAATAGTTCCTGCCTTGTTAATTGGCAGGTAAAATTAGTAAAAGAAAAATAGGGAGACCATCAAATGAAACTCCTAAAATACAAAAAGGATCTAAGTTACCTCAGAAAATAACTGACGTTAGATATGATAATTTAGGGCATTGGCCAGAAGCTTCTAAGACTCGAAAAAGGTGTAAATTATGTTTTATCGCATATTCAAAGACTATGTGTGAAAAAATTTATGCTATAACTAGGAAATAAATTTTAAAAAATTTTTCATAATAAATATTTTTTTATACATGCATTTCGCTCAATGATGCCAAATTGTATCATGATTTTTTTTTACCTGTATACTATGAAATAAAAGTCGAAATAAAAATTTTACATCCTTGGTGTATATAAATGAAGATTTTTAATAAAAAAATTTTTTTAGTTTTATTTTAAAAAATCGAGCTTTAAAGGGTTAAATACTTAAAAATTGAGTTAAAGTCAAAAATAGAACTTGTACTTTCCATTACATAAGATTTATAAACTCAAAGTTGAGAGAATACAATCGATTTTCATTATTAACCTGTATTCCGGCATGACTACAAAGGTAAAAATCGAATTCTGTTGGGTGAGTTATACCCACGTCTACAGTAGTGCCGGCAGGAATGTTACCACTTTTCCCAATCTATGCATAATAATGACCAATTATTCAAAACTATTATAAAAAAAGTATAATATTAATTTCAAATTTATCGAATAAAAATAAAACCTAAGAAACAGAATGAATTATGCTTTATGATAAAATTTGAAAATAATTAAATAGGATAGTAATTGGCCTTTTTAATAAAAAAAAATTTTAAGCAGCTGAAACGACATATTATTATTTTTTGCATACTTCTAAATTACCCTTATTATATGATTGAAAACTACATAATTCACTCTTATTATAAATTATAAATATTCGCATATATTCGGGAATATTATTTGGATACTTATGAATACCTGTTCTTTTTTGTCGGCGCAGAATAGACGGGTGTGATGTCTTTTTTGAACGACTATGAAGGTTATACCTGGCTGATAACCCACCTCTAATTTCATGCAGGCTTCCCTAAGTGCGCGAAGTTCGTGCTGCAAAACCTAAAATTAAGCAAAATAAAATATATTATTTATAGATATGAATATATATTCTTTAAAAATAAATAACCATTCCCAAAATTAGAGATGCATAAAATATATACTAACCTGGTTAAATTGACCCTCGCTCACTCCATCCCTATAAAATATGATACGAGTTGGCTTGAACCTCGTTGACCTGTAAAATTGAATTAGTAACTCCTTGACCATTTTAGATAAATCGGTAATTATTTCTTGTCTGTGAGTTTGAATCCTAACTGATGCAGCATATCTTGAAGGGTGGGCGTCCATACTGCCTACCAACTATTCATAATTTATAAATAATTGATATATAAATGTTCTTTCAATCATAAAAAAGAAATTCTCGAGTTAAAATTTTCTTATTAATGTCAGTATATATTTTTTTAAAAATTCTTATCACAAATACTAATCAAATCGCAACTGACAATTTAATTAAGCTTTAAAAACTGTGAATTTTATTTTACAATATATTATCAAAAGTTTTATAAACGGCGGCTATGGAAGGTTTTTTGCTGTCCCCAGCTGGCGGGTGTGTCACATCAGCGCCCAAAAATATAACGGGCTCGTTGAAAACCTTTGGCCTTATATTGGGGACGAGTATGTTGTTAATACCTCCCAACTTGACATTTATCTTGAGACATAAGTTGGAGAGGGTCTGGGGTGAAGTTTTGTTGACATTTTTGGCCTGAACACATTGCGTGGCCATACCGAGAAGGGTGTCGCCGACTCGCTTAACTTCGGCTTGAACGAAAGTGTAAAAAAAATGTAATTTCTTTTGTATTAGAAAATAAAAATATTCTAAAAAACATGGATAAGTCCGCTTGTATTGACCGAGTGTATGTTTTACTAGCGGACTCCTCTGAACAGGCGGACCAGGTTAGAATTACAGAAAATGTAGAGTTTGCAGTGAACCGGTCTCCAGTCTCTTCTGACTATTGGGTCTGACGAGACGGTCCGGTTCAACCGATTAAAAAGATAAAAGTTTACAATGATTTAATCATTAATTAATATACACGATTTAATGCCTAAAATTTATTTAATTCATTCATTGTTTGTCTTTTCTATTCTTTTAAATAAAGAAACAATATATATATATAAATATTAATTGATTTTTTTAATCAATATATTTATCTAAGGAAATATCTTTAAGGGAGAGAAGAGCCAGGATAAGGTTCACGATGGCTGGGACATCATAGGAATTTGTGATTCAAAGCTATTTATTCAATATTTTATACCCAATTAATTCCAACATATTATATTGATGGTAAGGGAATCAATATCGATTCGCAATTCTGGCCAAAATAGCTAGAATATCTTTCGCAACAGGCTACATCAGTAGCATGTGAATTGATCTTTTCTGAAACTAGTGATAAAATATCAAAAAAATGAACTAGAATGCATCCAAAGATGGTTCAAACTCTAATAAAATTTGAATCGTGGATAAAAAATGGAATTCATCTGATTTTTTTAGAAGATTATTAGAGTGTTTATATATGAATCAATTTTATTTTATAATCAAATATCTACCACATATTATATATATATCAAAAAATCATTTTGATTTATATTATATTCAATAAATTTATTATTTAAAATTATTTGATGATATAATTAAAATATTGATGATTTAACACATTTCATTTTTAATAAATTTAATACAAAATAAAACTTTTATAGCATAAAAACATATTTTAAATGGGAATCGACCTTACTGCACCGCCGGTCAAGCCTAGTCCGACATAACGGCCCCATTTTAGAAACAAGACCGGACCTCTGTTAACACTTAAAGATGACCATAGAACCTATATTGTATTATGTAGAGATGTAAATACTACTTTTTTCACGATCTAATGCTCCAATACCATATACATAGTGTCTAGGCCACGTATTAATTCGATTTAATTTTTGTTCTTAATTCTGAATTATATTCAGAATAGAAGCCTGGAAACCTATTTCTGGATTTTTTTTTTAAATTTAAAATCTCAAAAATCATCATTCAGAACAAATATTTTGAATTCTAAAAAGGAAAAAGACGAGAAAGATGAACAGAATATAAATAGACTCAAAGAACCCTTGCTATAAGAAAAAAAAAATTTCAGATAAATATTAATTATTTGGTTGTCAGATTATTACACTTGTATAAACATAATTTTATTTAAATCTAATTCATCGTGTTATTTATAATTTTATTATAATATTATGAAATCTTAAAAAAAACAGGCATAAAAAATCTATAAATGTTCTTAATCTTCCCATGGATTCGGAAAAAACGGAGGCCAGAGGAATAATCAGAGAAGTTATATGATATACGAGAAGGTAAAAGAATTAAAAAGTGCGTGCTAATACAGGTACTGTGTATGTGCATCTCTTGTATTTATGTAACAAGTTTGAGATTATGAGCAAATTTATTTTTCTGAAATTTCGATTTCGTCAAATATATAATTTTATATAAAAAAACTAAATTATTCCTAAATTAAAACACGGAAATAAGCAGATAAAAATTGTTAATTTCACAAAAGAAAAAAATATATTACCATAAACAGGCGTTTTGCCTGGTAAAACTACTACGACCAGTTGTAAGCCTTGGAATGTCGTTTTGAGAAACCGGAACATTGGTTCCACTTGTTCCGGACCGGTAGCGTATTTGCAAAAGCAGGGTTGACCTATGAGTTAAAGGTAACAGATAAAAAAAAATCTGTGTTAAGTAAGAAATGGATGAATGCGTTATTTGATTGCTTTAACAGTTTGGAAATGGAATCGCATCAAATTTAGGAATTGGAAACATTTTTTTACAAATATTCACAACTGTTTTCTTTCTTTCTTAATACATTCCAAAAAATTTACCTATAATGGGCATTCCAGCATCGTTAGAGATTTTTTGCAATTGTTGGGTAAAGTTCCTCAGGGCGTCCTCACGACAGGTCTTTTGAGGGGCAAAACACGCGATAGCCCAGACCCTAATCTCGATGCCTGTATGAAATTGTTTACCCCTCATGTCCCAAACGCCCTGATTTGGTATGGCCTGTTGTTTGGTCTTGGAAGAAAAAAAAGAAAAAGAATGAATGTTAATTTTGTGTGCGAAAAAAATTATGTTATATAAATGATAGCCTCACTTTTAGTGCCAAATTAAAAATTTAGCCCTTTATATGTTCCCGAAAATTGAAAAAAAACCAGGGACATGAATTAGGTTTTTACACCTTCCGGGAACAAAACCTAGGGAATATTATGAAAGGATGGAACGGAAACGGTGATATCGGTAACGTTAGCTGAACAGTTCTGGAAAGTTCAGATAATTAATATTAGGGATGTACCGATATTTCATCCATTTTAAAATATCGGTTATGGGCCAATATTATAAAATTTTCAATTTTTAAAAAAGGTTATATTTCTTTTTGTAAATAAAATCGAAATCCATTTTTTTTATGTTTATTTTTTTAATAATAATAATAATTAATTAACATTTCTGCCATAGTTATTTATTTTGCGCATTCTGTTTATAAAAACGTGCGATAATATATTTTAAAATAATCTTTAGTTTTATTATTATATGAATATGTTAATGCATATTATAAATAAATAAATTTTATACATTACATTATAATAATCTATTGTTTCATTTCACACATTACATAAGTCTCCGGTATTAAATTAATAAAATATTTTTTGATGGCTTCCTATTCACTTACATGGGAATATTTTGAATTGGATTCGCCAAGCTCTAATTGTGCAAAATGTAAAGTGGACTCGTGTATCGATAAAATTTCAAGAGGTGGAAAATCTTAAAAGATATATAACACTACTAACTTGAAGTATAGCGACGCATTTGCACTTTTATTAACTAAAGAAAATATTAAAAAAATGGAAAAGAATTAAATTAAAATAAAAACTTCTAAATTTAACCAAATAACATTGCCAGGTCTGATAAATGAACAGAAAATATGGGACATTGAAGACTCTAGATTCAAAGCCATATCGCTACTTATCAAACAAATGATAGCATTAGATAATCAGCCATTTTCGATTGTAGAGGATATTGGATTTAATCGATTAATAAATGTGAAAACTACAAAATTCTATCTAAGACCTTTTTTTGTTCCAGGAGTCTTTATAGCATGTAAAAGGTTGAATCCTGTCAACATCTTGAATAAGTTTGTGGGTGGGTAAATTAAATTGCTTCTGGATAATTTTGAGTCTATTGTTAGCAATAGATTAAAATGACCAGCTTGCTCAAGATAACATATCAATAATAGCTCTCTGCGCAAAAACTCCTACTTTTACTACTAATTATAGTGAGTGAGCAAAACATGAAACAGATGAATAATTTCCTAAATAAATCGACTAATAAATAATTTATGTGAAAACTACAAAATCTCATCTAAAAAATATTTTACTGAAAAATTAACTAATGAAATATATATAAATCAAAGAAAATTAAATGCCAATTAGATAGGGAAAAAATTTCCTTTAGTTTTACAAGTGAAATATGGTCCAGATGTTCTGGGTAGGATTCATATATCAGCATGACTTATCATATGGTCAATAAAAATTTTGAACCAATGGCAAGATTGCTTCATGTATTCACACACAATACAAAATATTGCCGATACTATAAACAAAATGATGACCAGTTGCAACATCAGTAAATGTAAAATATATGCTATTGAACGTGACAATGCACCAAATATAAAATCTGATTGCAATTTAGATAATTAAATTTTATAAATATTTACAAACCTTATTTAGGAAATTATTTCAGTTTCATGTTTTGCCCACTCACTACAATTAATAGTAAAAAAAAGGAGTTTTTACACGAGCTATTATTGATATGTTATCTTGAGCAAGAAAGATTACTGATCATTTTAATCATTTATCTATTGATAACAATTAGAATTCAACCTTACATGCTAGAAGACTCCTGGAACAAAAAAAGGCCTTAGATTAGATTTTGTAGTTTTCACATTTATTAGTCGACTAAATCCATATCCTCTACAATCAAAAATGGCTGATTATAACGCTATCATATGGTTGATAAGTAGCGATATGGCTTTGGATCTAGGGTCTTCAATTGTGCCATATTTTCTGTTTATTTATCAGACCTGACAATGTTATTTGATTAAATTTAGAAGTTTTTATTTTATTTTGATTCTTATCCATCTTTTAAATATTTTCTTTAATTAATAAAAGTGCTAATGTGTCGTTATACTTCCTCAAGTTAGTAGTGCTATATGTCTTTTGAGATTTTCCACCTCTTGAAATTTTATAGATACACGAGTCCAAATAACATTTTGCAAAATTAGAGCTTGGCGAATCCAATTCAAAATAATCCCAAATAAGCGAATAGGAACCTATCAAAAAAATTTTTAAATTTAATACTGGAAACTTATATAAAGTGTGAAATAGAACAATAGATTATTATTATAATGTAATGTATAAAAAAATAATTTATCGCGTAATTATTAAGGCATTTAAATTTATAATGGTTCATTAGTAAATATAATATTTATAACATGGCTCATTCATACCTAATCATTTTTTTCTTAAATTCCATTGTTTCACCCAGCAATATTACTCATTATTTAGTATTAAAACATTTTTTTTCTACTTAACTATTTTATTCAAAAACGATTTCAATTAAAAGATTTGTAATGAACATATTTATAACTGGGATAAAAAAAATAACAGAAACACTTTTACGTTTATTTCCTATTTCAATCATTTTGAAGCAAAAAAAATGATAAATCTAAATAATACTAATATTACTTTAACAATCGATATTTATTAAGAATTCGGATATGGATGAATAAAAATGTAGATTCCTAAAATTGAATTTATTCCATATGCAAATATTTTAAATTGATTTTATCTATCCCAATAATAATTTTGTATATAAATTCATAATCAAAACTGTTTTTCTATTTGTTTTAAATTATCGAATATAATTCATTTTTTTTCCTAAAAAGATTAAATTTTATAAAAAAAAAATATGAAAGGTTTCTTTTAAATTCGGAAGGAAGGCCCAAACACTAGAATCGAATAATAATTTTATTATTCATTAGAATAAGAAATACCAAATTATTAAATTTGTACAAATTCAATTTGAATTTTTATAGGTATAATGCTGGTGGGGGGAATGAAATAATCAAACTTAAATTTATTAATTACCCTTCCTCCGTATTGTATTTTGGGTGGTGGCAATACTCTTCCTCTAACCTCCGTCATTTGGTTAACCACGCTAACGCCAAAATCTTGTATGAATATGTCATTGTTAAAATCGGCTTTCACGATCTACAATAAACAAATCGTTTATAAATTATTTTAAGAATTCGAATATAAGAGAAATGAATAGCACAAAAAATAATCATTTAAACATTCTTCTCCCTCGTGTGAAAAATCACTTTAAGATGATTATTTATAAATTTTAAGGGTGTATGCTTTGAGGGCGTTAAATGATTTTAAGATGCTTCGTTTCAACACCGATATAAGATATGCATGTCTAGAAATTTGATAAAAGTATTTATTTGTTCACAGAATAAGGAGTGGGCAACACGATACACCTTGTTTACATACAAAGACAATTAAAAATTATCCAAATCTATAGCAAATTATACTACATTTTGTAATAGCTTTACACAAACCGATAAGTTAGATCATAATATATTTTTTTTTAAATACAACAGAATATTATGTTTTACCAAATTGTTTATTTCTTTTTCTCTGTCGGGAGCGGATCTGGCAGTAGCCTAAAATAAATTTAATTTTTATTTAAAAAACATAATTTTTATAATTATTATATAAGGTTTTCTAACTCAACAATAATATATAAAGAAGAATTGGTCTTCCGACTAACATCTATAATTGTTTTATAGATGATGGGGAGACTAAAATTTAACGAACTGCAACATTTTTTTTTAATATTCAAATGTGTTAAAATGTCTTTCCTACCTTATAAAAGTTAATTTTATTATTATCAGAACTGGTTCTAATAAAAGTCATTTAAAATGTAATAATATTCTAGAAACAGTTAAAACTTTTCAATTTTTCGAATTTGTTTTTTATCCGTCGCTTTATTTAACAGAATTTGGAAAACCGCCATTTTGAAAAATATTCCGAACTGGAAGCCTCTTTTTTTAGTCCAGATTGAAAAAAAATAAATAAATGAATGAATGATACATACTTTGATCATGGTAGAAGTTTGCATATCGGTCAATTTTTTAATGCATCTTTGTCCGGCTACTATATTGCATACCTTTATTTTATTTTCAAAAAAATTAGTTATAATTAAAAATAAAAAGGTTCCTTTTCTTTCTTCCTTTCTTTCTTACATTTATGTATGTCAATCAAAAAAAAATTTTTACTTCGAGAGGTAGATATGTGTGCTTTTGTTCTTGCCCGACTTGTAAACATGGTAGATGTGGATATCTTAAAAATTTTAAAAATTAATGCGTGAATAAGTAATTTCGTAAAAATTAAAGTCCATTTTAAAAAAAAATTTATAGTTTATTTTGTAATCTTTTTAAAATATTACAAATTTATTTATTTGAATCGATGTCGTCAGATTACATTATATAGTAATTAAATGGTTAAATTTATTCTAAGGTAATATTTTGTTCATTAATTTAAATATAGAATATAATATATATATTTTTAAAATAGATTTATGAAATTACAATAATTTTCTCTTGTATTTGTCCTGGAAATATTTGGCCACGGTGCATTCCACGGTCTGACCATTCTCTAATTGGAGTGGAAATCTGTCGTAATCAATATTAAGTTAGGAATATATAATAATCGTAATATATTTTAATAATACATAATATTTGTTTTGTAAAATATAGGCTGTGAGTAGAAGATGGTTCGAAAAGGCTAAATATGGTAGGTAAATCAACTAGCAAAAATAGTGTATGATATTGATAAAAATATTTTCATCGAAAATCGATCCAGAAACAAATTATAATAGTGTTATTTTATTTCCATAAAATTAAATAAAATTATAATTTTTAATTAGCATAATTTATGTTTTAATTATCATTCTATTAAAATATATCTAACTTAATTTGATTTAAATAGTTATGCAAAATAGCTCTATTTGAGCCGATTTTTAAAATGACTAACTCAATATTTTAGACAGAAAAATATTATCTAAGCCACGAGTTTTCGTTAATAGATGTCCAAACCTTTGTGCCATCTAGTGTTGTTAAATAGCTCGTTTTGAGCCGATTTTAAAAAACGGCTAACTCACTATTTCATCCAGATAACGCAAGCCTGAAGATTTTGTTTGTAGAAGGAACAAAGGTTTGGACATCTATTCGCGAAATCTCAAGGCTTAGGCAATATTCTTCAGGCTAAAATATTGAGTTAGCCGTTTTTAAAAATCGACTCAAAATGAGCTGTTTAACAACACTAGTGCCATCTATAAGCAAAATCTTCAGGATGGCATAATATTTTTCTGGATAAAATAGTGAGTTGGCCGTTTTTACAGATGGGCTCAAGAGCGATTTTGTAACACTACGATTAAGTATGAAAAAAATGGAGGTCATTATTAAATGCATCGAATGCATGATTGAAATCTCTCAATTCAAAGTATTACATCATCATCATCATCTGAAAGACTTATTTCCATGATAAATAATTTTAAAATATTATACATCATAAATATTTCCTAATATGTTATGCTAATAAATTGTTATGTTTAGTTCTATATATAAGTATTATATGTTTTTAATGTGTAATAAAGAGATTCAAAATTTAAAATATCAATTCGATAAATAAGAATACAATTCTAAAAAAAATATTTAAACCATAAATTCAAATGAAATATAAAATCCAAATACTAATTTCGTTGGTTAGTTCATATTTTTTTTCACTATAAGAAACTGTTACAATAGTAATAATAATAACAAATAAGATAATTTTTCTTATTAGAATTTTTTTTATTTAATACTATAAATAAATATGTCTAATTATATTATATAGTGTTGTTAAACGGCGAAGATTTTCGCCAAAATAATATTTTCTAAGCTTCAAGATTTCGCCATTAGATATTCAAATCTTTCTACATATGAGGAAAATTTTTAGTCTTGGGTAATATTTCTTTTTGGCTAAAATCTTGGGCAAACCGTTTTTAAAAAATTGGCTAAATCAAGACCGTTTAACCACATTATGTAGTTATGATTTGCTACAAGAATATTATTCATAAACATCGTTTAATGGCCCCGCTAGTTTTTCCAAGGGGGAAGTGGCTCATTTTTTTAAATATAAATTAACAATAAAAAATAGTAATTTTTATCTAAAATGCGCAGTTTAACAACCATAATTTGTAAAAAAAATTTCAAGTGCCCTCAAAAATTTTCAGTAGCTTGAGGCCCTGTATGCCCCCTCCCCCCAACGACGCAAACAATGATAATATTCGAATTTCTGTGAGGTATAATTCTATTTAAAACTGATTATTAATCCATAATTATATAGTTAAAAGAAAGAAAAAATATCAATTTACGATTGTAATTGTGCTGGTCTTCGGGTAACGTTACAAACCCTATACTTCCTCTTCATGGCTCCGCAGTGCGTAATTTCGATCTTCAGCCCTTAAAAATATGGCGGAATAAATTTTTGATGAATCTAAATGAATACTCTACTGTAAAAGTCGGCGTTCGTTCTTAACAGTCTTACGCTTGGATCGGTTAACGGACAGGTTTTAGTGGTTAAGCCTGAACTATTTTTTGGATTTTAGTTTAGCCCGGATTAGAAACCGAGATTTTAACTAGATTTGGCTAAAACTGATTTAACGTTTTCTTTTTAAAACCTTGGAAATATTACATTACTACCTTTTTTATCAAACTTCAGTAGAAATATAAACTATGAAAATCACCTTTAATTTCTTTGGTAAACTTGACCCTCTGGACATCGGTTAGGGGGCGTTTTTGTTCGTTAATATCACGCACGTCCAATACTTCGCACATGAAATCGATCACGGACTGGGATTTGTAAAAAGCGGTGGCGGATACTGTTTAAAATTTGTAGAATTAATTATAACTTTGTTGGTTTCCTAGCCTTTACTTTAATTATTTCAACTAGGCAAATATTCATGTCAAATTTTCCTTGAACCTTGTTCTAAACTTCTTTTTTTTATCACTTTCTCAAGAATTGCATTTCTTTTAACCCTATGTTCAAATCCGATTTTTATCTTTTATTTTTGTAAAGCGGTAAATGTAAATAATCAGCTTTGAACATAAGGGTAAATCATACAATTGAGTATCATCTTATTAATACTAAGAAATCATCAAAATAGGGCATTTAAAATATTAACACAATAAATATTAAATCACATTTCTTTAAAAAACATGTTTTTGTATTATGAATAGCTGACCATCTATGTTGAGCATCATCTTCCACTGGGACGGTCGTACGCTCTGATGGAATCCGAACCACACCTCCCTTCCACCACCCAGTGGATGGTAATAATCGGCGGGAGAACTGAAAAATGACCTACCCACGGGCGTATAAGTCATGCTGGGTAGGTGCCTCATGACAACGTCCAGAGCTTGCACGGCGTCATGAGGTATATTTCGGGTGCGACCTTCGAGGCATTCCTCCAGGGCGTAGAGCGAAACCTGGGCGGTCCATTTAAGTGCAACTTTGAAAACGCGGTCCTTTCCCTCGCCGGGGAGAATAACTTCGAGTTCCACCTTACAAAAAAAAGAAATCAATTTGTCGGACTCATCTCTCATTTAATATCCGCCATTTAATTTAAAACAAAAAAAATGGATGTTTTTATAAATTTTCTTATTTACTTTAAAGTTTTAAAATATTTTCGTTGGTTTTATGAATGATCGAATATTACTCATTTTTTTTTATTATAAGTGATATTGACATTAAAATTAGATAAAATTTTTAATATCATACTTTCAGCAAAACTCAAAAAATAATGGAAAAGAGTAATTTTATCCCATAACAGAGGATTGCTTAAAGAAAACATTGTAAAAAATAAATGGCTTTACCTTATCCCTCCCAATAGGCAACGGATCTCTGGTGTACAAATTTTTTTTACCGTCAAAAACTGGCTTCTGGCCATTGAATATTTTTGAGTATTTACCGACGGCAGTTTGAATTATTTCCCTGCGTAAATATTTAGAATAAAGAAAAAAAATATACAATTAAAGCATAAAATTATTTAAGTTGTATAAGTAATTATTTTAAAAAAAAAAATTGTAAAATAATTTTAAATATAAATTTTAAAGAGTAATAAGAAATGAAATGAGAAAAGAGATAAATAAATGAATTTCTTTATAAAAAAATTTAAATAAATAACTGTCCCATCTTATATTTTTTTCGTGAGTCTATAGTCTATGATTATCGGTGCATGTTTTTAGGTTAGACAAATAAATCGTTTCAGGATTTTAAAGAATAACGTAATCTTAAAAATACTTAAACAGAGTATTTGAAACTTAAAGATGTGGCGTGACAAAAATTAAGAGAACAAAAATGAAATACATATGAGGATGAGCAAATTGTAGGAATAACCTGTTTACTCTCCTAGGGCATTTGTCGGGGACTATACTGATGTCGTAATGTTGAATGTTACCCCTCGGCATCCGGACTTGAAAATGATTGGCCCTGAGCAAGATCGGTCTGCCTTCCATCCCATGGTTCGGTCTTAGCGGGCATACGAATTCGGTCTGTAGTAAAGGAATTTGTGTTATAAAATTGTTACAAAAGGTTACATCACATAAAAAGAATATCTTAATTCAATTTCAATCTTACCAGAACCTGGGACGATCCCATGAGAAGGGATGTAGGCGTAAGAGGAACCATGCCTTGAGAGTGTTGGGCAACGATAGAAGTGGGCAACATCTGACCCCCTACGACTAGCGCCGAAGGAGGTGGAGCTTGAGGAGCCCCGCCCATATTACTCAATCCTGACAGGTTGCCATTTCCGTTATGGTTGCTGTTATTGTTAGAAATGAGGGGGTGAGGGTTGAGGGTATGGGGGTGGTGATAGGGACCCCCTATAGGACCACCCCCTATCATGGGTGGTTGAGGCTGGTAGGATCTGACCACTGGGGGACCTATAATAAATAAAATTATGTTTTTAAAAAATAAATAAATATATTTTAAAAAAACTTGCAAAACTATAATCGCGATTTAAAATAATTATAAATATTATATAATGCAAACTAGATATTGAGGTTATCACAATTTTTTTACATCAAATATTGATAAGCGACGAAGAGCTTCTTTTTTTTTAGCAAAACAAAAAAACTCAAAACTCGCATTTTTTTATGAATGCTTTTTTAAATTGTAATTTATTTTCTAAACCAGAGTACAATGTTTGCAATTACTACTTATTATTACATTTATAAAATTTTTAAGCATTCATTCAATGTGTTACGAAAATCATTTTATAAAAACTAAGGTACCCCAAGGAAAATAAAATCACTATATTGAAAATTTAAAAAATAATTTAACAGAGTTCTGATAGTCTTGCATTGAGTGACAGATTAGCCATTTTTCTTTAAAAAAAGAATATAGGTGACCATTCTCCGCTTGACAGACTGACCTTTGAAACCTACAAAATTATGACCAAATTTTTTAAAAAAAGGGGGCCGAAATTATTTTGATTTGAAAAACAAGGGGAGTCGAGTCGGTTTGAATTTATTATTTTAAACGCCTAACCCAATATTTTACCCAACAAAATATTACGCAAGCCTGAGCATGTCGATGGCAGAAAGGTTCCAACATCTATTAACCATATCTCGAGGCTCGCGTAATATTATTTTGGTTAAAATTGATTAAATCGGGCGGCTTCCCTACAAAAACAAATATATTCGATATTTATTTTTAGATCGTATTTTTATTGTGCGGTCATATTTATTTTTTAGAAATTTGTTAGTTATCAAAATTAGTTTTTTGTTCTAAATTTCCCCCGAATTAAAAATTAAGGAATGTAATAAGGATGACGATAAAAAAGGCAAAATAACGAAGGAAATGATATATATAATTATACCTACAAAAATAAGAATCGAATCGAATATTTTCATCATTCGTATTCGTTTCGTATTTTCGAATCGAATATTTGCATTATTCGTATTCGTACGAACCGAATAATTCCTTATTTGTTTCGTACGAATAATAAAAACATTATTTGATTCGATTCGAAAATTGAATTCTTTAAAAAAAATTTTAATGAATCTTTGAATATTTTTTTTTAAATTTGTGATTTCATCCTGAAAGATTTCTTGTCCAAGAAAATTATAAAAGGTTTACTCATAAAATATTTTTTTTTATCAAACATATTGGAAATTTTAGGTAAAAATTTGATCAAAAAATCTTTCTTCTTTAAAAAAATCTCATATTTTTGCTAAAAATATTTTTCAAATTATGGAAAAATTAGACTATTAAAAAAGTGATTTATAAATGTAGAAATAAAGTTTAAAAAAATAAAATATTCTGTAAGAAACATGTTAAATATTTACAAATAATTTAAATATTTATGAAAAAGTTTTAACATTTACGAATAGTTTCGAATATTTACGAATAGTTTCGAATATTTACGAATAATGTCGAATATATACTATAAATTTTAAATAATATGAAAAAAATCAAATTATAAAAATAATCGATGCGTTTTTTGTATTGAATTGACGCAAACTGCGAATGCAGGGTTAATCGTTGTAATGAATAGGTTATTTTTTAAATGAGGCAAAAGATTTAAATCGAAATTTTTGCATTTTATTAGATTACATTTGACCAGCTTACTTCTCTATCCGATTCTTTTTTTGTCAATCATGAAAGATTTTTTTAAACAAAATTGAGAAAAATTTAATCAAAATTTTTTTTATGATCTTCAAATAATCAATATTGAAGATTTTTTGTTTTAATGAGAGTTCGCGAAACTTAACAAAAAATAATTTAATAAAGAAAATATCCACCCATTCGTTTAACTGATATTATGTATGGGTATATATTAATTATTTCAAAAAACAAAAAAGGCTATCGCAGACTGAAAGTTTTAAGCATATATCTTTCTTTCTTTCAAATAATACGAAAAAAAAATAACTGTTCAAAAGCGAAGAAAACCCGAAGAAACCCCAAAGAAGAACATTAGCCAAGCATTTGAATCTACCCTGGCATAAAATACTTACCCTGAATTCATAGTGAAAAATTGCGCGATTGCGATTTAGACGCGATAAATACAAAATACAGTAAATATCATATCGCATTCATAGTTATCGATCGCGCGATTTGAATCGAAAAGCAAATCGCCGCGATTTTTTGAAAACACAAATCATTTTGTATTTATCGCGAGATTTTGAAATAGTGCTTCGTTAAATACAGATTTTGGTGAATTTAGCTCAAAATTTTATTTAGCACTAAATTTAAAATAAAATGAATTCAATGGCAACATTTTTCGAAGATATCAGGAGACCCAAAAGAAGGCGTCTACTTACGTCAACGCATAGGAATTCAGATTATAAAATCTAATTTCACATGCTTCATAGGTTCATTCCCCGAGGAGCCCGATTAATCTAGATTTTCTTCTTCTTCCCTAAATCATTTAAAATTACCCCCCCCTCTTCCTCGTATTATCATTTGCACTAATTATATTCCCATTATTATACTTTGTATTATGAAGTCGTTGGTTGTTAAATTTCTTAAAATTTCTAGAAATGTTAAATTATATATTTTTCTTAAATTCCGTTATGTAAAAATTACTTATATTTTATTGTAATTATATATATTAATTATTTTCATAAATACAGTATTTTTTTTGTAATATTGAATATTTATTATTATAGTTATATTTACCTTTTACAATTACCAATTTAAAAATAATAATCAAGTTAAAATTATGATTATTTAAATTTAATTTTTTTTTAGAAAATAGATAAATCTTTATTTATTCTTTCAGTTAAAGAGTATGAGTGCTTATATAATAAGCACCATCATTTGTATAAAAATGTTATTTATAAGAACAAGGTTTGGGGATTATTAGCCCAAGAGTATAAAACTACTGGTAATAATTATGCATACATATTATATTTATAAATTTTTTTAGGAACATCTCTCAAATCTCTTTGGAAAAATTTGAGAGATTGTTTCATTAAAGAGAGACAAAAGATAGTAAAATTGAAAAGTGGGTCAGCTGCAGACCATCATATCACCTGGCCTTTCTATCAGGATATGCTATTCCTGGTAGAAACCTTAACACTAGATCTCAAAAGTCCTCTTTAGATAAAGAGGACTCTAATTCTATAGAGGTTACTAATATTTTTAGTGAAATGATAGGAGAGATAGATGAATGTAAAATATAGCATTTTAATTGAAAATATCGCGATTTAGACGCGATAAATACAAAATACAGTAAATATCATATCGCATTCATAGTTATCGATCGCGCGATTTGAATCGCAAAAGCAACTCGCCGCGATTTTTTCAAAACACAAATCATTTTGTGTTTATAGCGAGATTTTGAAATAGTGCTTCGTTAAATACAGATTTTGGTGAATATAGCTCAAAATTTTATTTAGCTATTTTAAATTTAGCGCTAATTTTTTATTAATTGAAATGAATTCAATGACAACCTTTTTTGATGATATAAAACCAAAGGATCAAGTTAAAATTATGATTATTTAAATTTAATTTTTTTTTAGAAAATAGATAAATCTTTATTTATTCTTTCAGTTAAAGAATATGAGTGCTTATATAATAAGCACCATCATTTATATAAAAATAATAATTACAAGAACAAAGTTTGGGTATTATTAGCTGAAGAGTATAAGACGACTGGTAATAATTATGCATACATATTATATTTATAAATTTTTAGTAACATCTCTCAAATCTCTCTGGAAAAATTTGAGAGATTGTTTCATAAAAGAGAGACAAAAATTAGTTAAATTGAAAAGTGGGTCAGCTGCAGACCATCATATCACCTGGCCTTTCTATCAGGATATGCTATTCCTGGTAGAAACCTTAACACTAGATCTCAAAAGTCCTCTTTAGATAAAGAGGACTCTAATTCTATAGAGGTTACTAATATTTTTAGTGAAATGATAGGAGAGATAGATGAATGTAAAATATAGCATTTTAATTGAAAATATATTTATTATTTAGGTGATTTCATTGATACTGAAAATATATCAAATGATATAGTTATTCCTAAAGATTCTGTATCACTAAATCTTAATGATTCTGGTAATTAATATTATCTTCAACAAGAGGCCTTTAATTATCGGATATCTCGTGCTAGGATACAAGTCGCAATTCCAATGTTATTAATGATTTTTCTTTTTCTAATTTAATTATGTCCCTATATTCATCTATTTAAAAGTTATTAAAAAATATAAATTACCCATATTATTATTCTTTCTCTTAGGATTTTTATAATAAGAACTAGATGCAACACTGGGTATAGATTCTTAAATTAAATAATATAAGTTTTTAGATAATATTAATTACCAGAATCATTAAGATTTAGTGATACAGAATCTTTAGGAATAACTATATCATTTGATATATTTTCAGTATCAATGAAATCACCTAAATAATAAATATATTTTCAATTAAAATGCTATATTTTACATTCATCTATCTCTCCTATCATTTCACTAAAAATATTAGTAACCTCTATAGAATTAGAGTCCTCTTTATCAAAAGAGGACTTTTGAGACCTAGGTGTTAAGGTTTCTACCAGGAATAGCATATCCTGATAGAAAGGCCAGGTGATATGATGGTCTGCAGCTGACCCACTTTTCAACTTTACTATCTTTTGTCTCTCTTTAATGATACAATCTCTAATTTTTCCAGAGATTTGAGAGATGTTCCTAAAAAAATTTATAAATATAATATGTATGCATAATTATTACCAGTAGTTTTATACTCTTGGGCTAATAATCCCCAAACCTTGTTCTTATAAATAACATTTTTATACAAATGATGGTGCTTATTATATAAGCACTCATACTCTTTAACTGAAAGAATAAATAAAGATTTATCTATTTTCTAAAAAAAAATTAAATTTAAATAATCATAATTTTAACTTGATTATTATTTGTTATTGTATCTT